TCCTATGAAACTAACCAGTAGCCCATCTCTGTCAAGGAATCATGTGCGTCGGTGGCACAGTGGTTAGGACTCTCGCCGACCATGCACATGGTCCGAGGTTCGAGCCCGCGCCGACGCACACCTTGATATCTATGGTCGGCCTGCGAAATTTGGGCTACCGATATCCATGCTGAAAATTCCATACTTGTACCAAAAATACAGTGTGGAATCAAGCTGTAATCAAAAATAAAAAAATAAAAATAAAAAATATTGAAATTCCTTTTGTAAGAGGTCATCCCTACATATCTTTCCTGCTGTGCTCATAAGATATTCAACAACATGTCTCTTATATTTAATGGGCACGCAACTAAGAAAGTGTGTGTATTGCCCTGTGAATGTGCTTTTTCTATACACGCCTCTCCCAAGTGACCCATCTTCTTCTCTCCTACTTAGCAAGACATCTAGGAAATGTAGTTTATTCTCCTGCTCTTCTTCACAAGTAAAGGTAAGCGAAGGGTGGATGTTATTGAATTTCGGCAACATTTCGTCTATGTTAACATTCCCATCAGCTAATATAAGTGTAACATTGACATATCGGTAATGCATATAAATACAATATCCTGTCTTCAAGTTTTGCTATTATGTCTATGTCCCTCTCACTCTTGTTTGTTTTAATTGTTGTCATGGTGAAATTCAAATTTATTCTGTTTTTTATGATTTCAAATAATAATTTTCAAAGTTGATTTATCAGTTTGTCAATAAATGACATTCACCTGTCAATAAATCGAAGTGTTTTCATTGTCTAACTCATGTTTATTATTTTGCAGTAGTTAAGATGGAAACATTTGGGGTTACATATAAAAAAAACTATTATACTGTAACAGACTAGTTGGTTAGTTACTCACAAAGCTTCATTAACAAATATGGCAAGAATGAACTGTCAAGAAGCCTGATATAGCTACAGTCAGTAAGAAGCCTATTTTCATCAAATTCGACTATAAGGGCGACGATATTATGAAAATGATAAATAAAAGATTAGGCGCAGGCCTGTCTAGGACATATCCTGCAGTGTTATTAGTCTCTCTACCCTGAACTACTTCTGCACTGGTGCAGTCAAAGATTGACAAGTACCCTTCACATGTTTCCTCCAACTGTGTATACAAATTCACATGTATCTGCGAGAGCGGTTACATTGGAAGAAGACAGAGGAGGGCCTATGTCAGATTCTGCGAACATGTACCAAGGAGCGAGCCTCCGGTTAAAGGGACCGAATTGTTTAAGCTCTTCAATCCCCGCCAAACATCTGATTGACACAGTACACCGAGTAGATGTGCCGGAATCATTCAAAATAAATAACAGACAAAGCACCTCAAATCTTCTTAGGTTTGCTGAAGCTATAGCAATAAAACAATTGATGCCTGACTTATGTGTCCAAAAAGAATCTGTTGTTGAATTTCAAATACCCTGGTGACTCACTGCTTACTAACTCACTGTTTTCTAATTTTGTTAATTTATCTTTTCATTCCACCCCTTTATTTTTCGCCCAACTCTCGTAAGAGATAATTTTTCCTGGTCTTCTGAGTTCTGCTCACTGTATTATATCATCAAATTCCCATCTGACCTAATGTGCACCGAAATTTTGATCTTCTCTAATCTAATTACGTAACTATTACTAATTTTACCACTGCAACAACGCAACTGTAAATTAATTTTTATTTCAAGAAAACTCTCTCTAACAAGACATATATATATATGTGGTAACCGTTTGGACACCCTGTAAATCGCAACGCCTTATTTTATCATGATGCTTTGACACAATATGCTTTCTAATGGACAGAGATTGTACGCGGCTGATGAGAACCAGCGAAATAAAATGTTTCCAGATTATTCTGCGCCAATGTTCCTTTTTTCTTTGTTCATACTCTATTATTAATATTATTATTACTATCACTATTATTATTGTTGGCTTAGTCGTTCCTTGGTTCCTGATTGTAGTTTAGGAAACGCTTCAATGACACATTACCACTCTGTTGTCTGCAGTCTGTTTCAGCATAGTTCGTCAAAGTTTTCATAAGCTTTCATTTCGCCCTCACACGATATCTGTGGTGGGGGCTGGCTGATAGCCAAAATTGGTAGACAGTAATTTACGTGAATGTTTGTGTCCCCAATACTGGTCATGAGAAAAATAACAACAAAGACTGACTTAACAACCGACCACAGCAGATTTTGCGTAGGCGGATGCAGTTAACATACGAATGATCTGACATTCAAGAAACAGCCACAAAGAGATGAAATATTAACGTTCAGAGAGAAACCACCAATCAGAGGACTGTGCTTTTCTGCTAACAGTAATCTATAATAATGCACATGCTAATCTATAAGTATGTGTTGATTTCTTAAATAAACGATCTGTTGTCTGGCCCTTGTCTTCTGTTCTTACATTTGGTGTCGCTGCCTACCAACAAATGGAAAGCCTGCGCTCTGCAGTTTTTGATGGACACATATAGATCTTCGGAAAGGACTTCGAGGCTTCTTCGCTGTTGAGTGGCTTTCAAGATCTGTCAGAGATGAGGCTGCTACTTGAGACGCTGCTGGGAGGTCAGGAGAAAGCATCATATGAAAGTGTGAGGCGAAATACCAACGAATGTGTGACAGGGTCAGGCAAACAGTTTCCAAAGTGGGAAGGACCACATGTGGTCACTTTGGGATGGGGTTACGCAGACACAATCGCTATGGTAAGCAAAGAGAAACAGGTGAATATCAGCGGGCGCCGAGATTCCAGGCAGCAAGACAAACGAGCTTAGCCCCTAGAACCGAGCCGACCGAACCAACATCAGTCGCAAGTCTTTGATGGGCGGGGGGAGACAAGTGTGGTGAGAGCTGACTGTTAGCCAAAATTGGTAGACAGTATTCTACGTCAGTGTATACGTCCCCAATATCGATCATAAGAAAAATAAGAACAACGACTGACTCAACAACCAATCGCAGCAGACTCTAGCTTTACTTCAGCGATGGCCTGGTGCGCAATGTCAATTAATGGTTTCCTCAAAGTGTGTGTTTGATTTATCGCCACTGTCTTCTGCATAATTGTTGAGTAGTCACATTTTAGTTACTTCATTCCCAGGTAATATAAGTCACTTGTAAAGTGGAGATCTTCTACAGTCTGCTTATCGATGGTCCAACGTATTCTTGTTTTCTCACTCCCATGCACAGACAGTCTGGTGCAGTCAAACCCAACTAAGAATATCATCGGTGATAAAAGTCAACCAGCTTTTCTTACTCCTGTATTCACTTCGAACGCCTCATTCAGTTTACAGCTGTGGACCACCTGAAATATGGCGCTGTCATACAGCCTACTGTTCAATGAGGTTGGTAAAGACTCCAGCACGGCACGCCGTAGTACTGAAGTAGTTTTCAAGCTACTTCTCAGTCAACGCTGTTTGTTGACGGCCTTTTCGAAGTCAATGGAGTTGAGGTGGAGTAAGGTTTGACTACCATTCTATGCTATGTTCTTTGATGATGACGATGGGTAGAGTTACAATTTGATCAGCGAATGATTTGCCCTTCCTGAATCCGGCCAGCTTGTTCTGGTCGGCAGGGTGGAGTTCTGTATCCAGTGCATCTTTAATTTTCTCCAGGATGATGCAACTTCGTAATTTTACTTGGTGTGGGTGGACAAGAGCATTCATTACTTGATGCAACATCCTCCGGAGGCATAAGTAGTCCTCATTCCTTGTTAGTTTAACAAGGTGGCCAGCTTTTCCTCCCTTGAAGTCTTTTGCAATTAATGGTGTGATGATACTTACTGTGACCTCTAGGTCAGTTTTTAGTGCTTGCAGATGATTTGCATCTGGTAATGCTGCCTTCCCGGTCTTCAACAACTTTTATTACATTCAAGATTTCTGACTTTGTTGGAGAACTTGTGTCCACTGCAGCTCTGTGACTATTGGTGGTTAATTTTAGACAAGTTGCAGATGATAGTCAACTGAAGAGTCTTTTGAAATAAATTACTTGATATAAGTGTTAAAGTTAGGATCATGTTTCTGTTGATAAAGGATGCAGACCTAAAAAAAACACTTACTTCATCAAGCTTTGCTGATTGGCTATGACATCTTTGTGGCTGTGCCGCATATTTTTTCGACACTATGTTGCTTAAGCATGTAGGTAAAAGAGACAATTTATTTCAGATTTCCCTCCTCCCATTCTCTTAAAGTAGCTTTTAAGAACATCGTCTCGTTGTTCACTATTGTAAAACTGTTTTCACAACAGTTTAGATAGATTTATAGATATGCTTCCCTCCATATTTCTTATCTTAGTAGTCAGAGGTTACTAGTCTAGATTTTGCTGTGATTTCAAGTGATCACATCTGTCCACTACTTTGTCTTATTGATTTGACCTCATAATCACTGGAAAGTATTATATTTACTAAATTATTACGTACAATGGTGTCAACAGGTTTAGTTCTATAACCAACACAATTAGTTTCTAAGATCTGTGTGATTGAATGCCACTTTTATTCCCTCTTGGCTTGTTAAGAATGCTATGTAGGGATCTTTTGGGAAGTACTGGACAAGTGTTTCGTCTTTCTTTAGGACTCCTCACCACCGCGTACCAGTGGTCATTCAAAGGGTCTAACTCGGGACTTTCAGATCGCCAGATGGGAAGGATATTGACATAAGTAAGAATAAAATGGACTACTGGGTTGCATCTCTGTGGGTGTATAGTCAACGTGCTCACCTTATAAGCTGAATGACCTCGGTTCGGTGCTTTAATGGAGCCACTATTTTGCACCATTTAAGAGGTTAGAACTTGAACGAAACAGCTGTTCAGTATCCCCTGGTTTTCAATGATTCTCCAACTTGAGCTCAGTTTTAGAGTTTGTCATTTTGTATGGTAGCAGTACTCGTGTTTTAAAAAAATTCCTTTGTGTTTGTTATTCTTATCGTCCAATTATTTTGTTTGTGTTAGTTGAAGAGTTAATTTATAAAAAAATCAGTAAATAATTAAAAATCAATACTTACCAACATATGTATTGGCAGGTTGATTTTCAGCTATTCTAAAATGATATGCATCATCACGATCTAGACCAACAAATACTGGCGTGTTATCATTCACATCAAGAATATTGATTTCAACAGTTGTTGTAGCTGTCAGTGGTGTCGGTTGACCATGATCACATGCAAACACTTGAAATCGATAACTATGCAAATTTTCAAAAACGAGGAAAAATAAAAACAAAATTGAGAAACAGAATATGAATTAATTAAATCATCCGTTGATTAAACACTATGCTTCATATGTTATACAGTTAGAGACACTCGATAGAAAGCCGTACTTGTCACAGGTTTCGTGCTAAATTTGAACTCATCGGCAAGGCAGATCTTGAATTCATAATAGGGAACTAACTAGTATTGACAGTCTGCCTAAAACTTAGACTACAGAAAACCTCAATCAATCAATATATATGGTTACAGGATTTCATCATGAGCTGATACCAGTTAGAGAACTATTGGAAAACCGAATAGGAGTACTGGACATATGTTTCATCCTAGTTTGGGACTCTTTATCAGTACGCACCCACCACGGGAGGTTCAAACCGAGGACCTTCTGGTTACAAGGCGAGCTAGCTTGTATACCGTCAAGCCACCGAGACCCGATCCAATGGCCAGTCCATGAATTCTAACTTCTGCCAACTTACGACATAGCACGACCACTAGCCAATGTCTTTGACGAGTATTAGTCCTCACACCTAATCTGCTGCACCCTAATGGTCACGACTTCTCGCTAGAACCCAAAGTAACTATCTAACTGAATAAGGCAAGGCGTTAGTGAGCATCCCACTGAAAATTAAGTGTTGTTTTGTAGGGATTTGATTGACTGCTCTTGTTCTGCTAGTTTGACCTATGTATTTGACCTGACAATCATTAGAGGCAGGGTATTAGATAAACTGAACTGTTTTGTTTTAAAGGCTCCACAGGATCCTGTAACCGACAAAGCTTGTTTCTATTTGAGTTTGTGGATTTGAATGCCACCTGTTCCAGATATCTGGAAAATTCTACTTCCCCTATGACGACAAATAGGAGAAGACAACGAAAACTATAAAACTCAGGTTTTGAAGTCGTGTGATTATAACTGACGAAATAATTATAAACAATAAATAAATTTTGTTCGAAACCTTGTCATTTAGTAAATAATACTGTTTCACTGTGTGCTATGTCTAATTAACCAACTAATATGGAATTACTTACTACCACAGTGCCGACGTTTTACATATATATTAATAAATTCATTTGATCTAATACACAGTGATAGCGCGTTCAAGTGGTGTAACGCAGCTAGTCAAGCGTGCAAGGTAGTCAGCAAGTTGCATAACTTGCCGTAAGGAGCACACTTTGTGTAGAAAAATCACTTCCTTAAAAGGTCGTAGATACACCATAACTGATTTCTGCCAATAAACACAAAATCTATACAAACCGAAGTACCTGATGATGACCTTCAAACGCTGAAAATCAATAAAGTCGTTAATAACACAGCATAATATAAAGAAAAATCTATGATCCAGTTCACATGAGAATAACGGGCAAGACAACAAACAAACGAAGAAACACACACAAAATGGGCCATATTACGTAATAAGTGCAAAAATAATCTAAACATATTGAAAGTGCAAGGAAAAAGAAAGATAAACTAAAGAGTCTCTTCGCTGAAAATTGTGTTCTTAGATAAACTAAAGTCTAGAAAAGAACAGATCAATATGCTGGTTAAGACTTTTGTTAACAAATGGGAAAAGAAAGTGCTGAATTTGAAAGGTATGAAGGAAATGAAACATTTACCTTAACAGTATCGATATAGTTTAATTTATCACAAAATAAATTTGTGATTTCAGGATTTCATCATGAGCTGACATTAGTTAGAGAACCATTGGAAAACCTGTCAGGGAGTACTGGACAGCTGTTTCCTAGTTTGGGACTCTTCAGCAGTACGCACCCACCGGGATTCGAACCCAGGGCCTTCCGGTTACAAGGCGAGCTCGTATACCATTAGGCCACTGGGACTCGATCCAATGGTCCATGAATTCTAACTTCTGCCAATTCACGACATAGCGCGACCGCTAGTCAATGTCTTCGGCGAGTATTTCTCCTCACACCCGACCAGCTGCACCCTACTGGTCATGACTTCCCACCGGAACCCAGGTAACTACCTACCTGAATAGGGCCAGTCGCCAGTGAGCATCTCATTGGTATTCAAGTGTTGGTTTGTAGGGATTTGATTGGTTTCAGGATTTCATCATGAGCTGACATTAGTTAGAGAACCATTGGAAAACCTGGAAGTACTGAACAGCTGTTTCGTCCTAGTTTGGGACTCTCCAGCAGTACGCACCCGCCGGGATTTGTGATTGGTGACTAGCACAAGTGCCCAAGATGCGCTTTTCATTTTATTTGGAACACGTCATTTGGATTTACGTGCATTTCCCAGTGAATGGTGTAGGGTGTTCCCACCGAGGCTCAAACCCACTACCCCTGGTCTCCAACTTGAAAGTGGTATCCACTACTGGGAGAGTTCAAAGTGAATTCAATAACTGCTAATACCCACTGCTCAAGGGGTGATTATCTGTCGTGCCCCAAGTGGTCTAGTGGATGATTTTTTGGCGTTTGAGGCTGTAGGCACTGGATTCGAATCCCAGTGGGAACATCACTATTCAATGAGAGATGCAGGTACGTCAAATGACGAGTCCCGAAGAGGATGAAACGTATGTCATGCACTAATTTACTTCAAGTTAAATAAACAGACATAATTTGTCACGAAATGTTTACCAAAGATGCAGTAAAAAAATTAAATTATCAAAGAAGGACAGGTAAAAGTGTTTATTGATTTCTTTTGTGGAACCTGAATGCTTTGTCTGTACCCATATGCTGACTTCTGGTAGAGAGACGCTTTGATTGTGTCAGAAGGTTGGAGGTAATTGGTAGGCAACTCTGGATTTACGTTTCATGCTTGTTGGCACTACTCATCAACAAGATGTATCTATAAAATTGATCGAACCAATCTCTTCTCTGAGATTCTCACCCGCCTCATTCAGTACTGAAATCAGAGATATTGCCACTGATCTGTTCACATTCACTAATGACTCACGATGAACATGATGTTATCTGACCGCTTGTGGTTAGAAATACAGTCCAGAATGCACGCCGGCATTTTGTACCACTTGATAAATGTCAACTGGATGCATTTTCATCTTTAAAAGGTCATGATATTCCCAATGGAACTCGAATCCAGAGCTCATATTTTGAAACTATCAGGTATTATTCATAATTCAGAATGTGAACACAATTACTCACTGTGTAGGATACAGGTACTTCGGCTTGATGAGCTCCAAATGGGACAGAGTGTTTGCGTCATCTAGATACTACTGCTAGTCACTGTCATCCAAATCTCATAATGTTAAGCTTCAAGGATGATTCAGGGCCTTCCTACTGGTAGCCCACATGGCAAAAGAGACATTGAGCGATTTGTTCCAATAAGGGAATCAAGGAATGGGAAGTGAAGATTATCACTTCAGTGAATAAGAGTCATGCTGTTCACTCAATTCCATAAGTTCGATTCATTCAGATTACAACCCTTTTTTTCAAAATTATTATTTAAACAGTTTTTTCTTCTATTTATAAACGAAGTAACTTTAAACAGTCAACAACTGATGCAAAACTATGAATTAATTGGTCTGGTATTTGACATATTTACATTTTATTCTGCAAGTAAACATAGAGAAGATAGAGGTAATAAAAAGAAACCAGCTAACAGCGACAATCACCAGTCACTTTGAACTGGAAAATTTAAAGTAGGTCTTTTCCTTCACTTATCCAGGAACAATCATTTCAGCTACAGGCAGATGACATGGAATATTATTATTGTTCCCCTAATTCCTAGAGGAACATAGGGCTTCAGTCGCACGTCTCCATTACGCTCAGTTCTCCGCCAACGTTTTCAACTGGCACCTCGTCTGCTCACATGCTTTCATCCCATCATCACATTACCTCCTCCATGTCACCTTCACACTGATGACCACCTCGCTACTTCCCCTGAAGGTTACACTCAAGCGATGGCCTCGCTTGTGATGTCACTTGATGTTTTGTTTCCTAGGAGTATGGTCAATCCACCTCCGTTTCCCGCTGCTTATTTGTTGCACAATCGGTTTCTGTTAAGTTGGTTTAATCCTAGAGATCCTTCCATATTGCTGATCTTTTCTGGCCATCTGATCTTAAGTATTCAGCGAAGACAGCTGTTGATGAAGGTCTGTAGTTTGTTTGAGGTGCTCTTCATGACGCGCAGTACAAGTCTCCGATCCGTATAGTGAGCAGCATTGACTTCACATTGGAGTTGAAAATCCGGATCTTATTTTCATTTTCATGCTGAGTAGTTATGTTGACATCCACACAGACTTGAGAGTAATGAAAACTTCCCTTGCTTTCCCGATTCTCTCTTTGATATCCTCGTCAGTTAGCCTGTAGTTGAAACGATGCTTCTTAGGTAAGTAAATGAGATTGTTTCTTTCAGATTCCTCCCATTTATGCTGATTGTTGTCCGTCGTTGTTGTTGCTATTGGTGTTGCCCAGGAATTTTCATCACCTCTTTTTGGTCTCTGTTCACTTGAAAGCTTATTTTCTCCGAACGCTTTCTCTGCCTACTTGTTGCTTTTCACTTGCATATCTTCCAGTTTGTGAGAAATCAGGCAAATATCATCGGCGAAGTCCGGATCCTCCAAGTTTTTCGTGAGGGTCCATTTTATGCCGGTTTCCTCGCTGCCCGCCACTATCTGTCGCATTATCCAATCTACTGCAATCAAGAAAATCATTGTCGATAGTAGGCAGCCAGCCAGCCTTGTCTTACTACCGTCCTCACTTCGAAGGATTCCGTAAGTTTCCTATTGTGGATTACTTGATATGCGGCGTTGTCGTACAACTGTTGGATGACATGTATAATTGTCGGCGTCACCTCGTAGTACCGAAGTAACTTTCAAATCACCTGCTCATCGACGCTGCGCTGTCGAAGGCCTTTTCACAGTCGATGAAGTTGAGATTGAGGAGTGACTGCCATTCAAAGCTTTTGTTCAGTGATGATCCGTAGTGTGGTGATTTGATCAATACACGAGACGACATGGAAAGGGATGTCAAAACCAGAATTGGAAAGGGAAGGCAAATCCTC